GCTTTCCGCTGCTTCCTTCCCGTCCCGGTGCAGGTGATCTTCCGGGTCCGCCGTCCCGGGCGGGCGGCAGCCGCCTTGGGCGGGGGCAGGTAGAGGTGTCCCTTTCCGGAGGGGAAAGCAAAGCCGTCAGCGTGGCTCCGGCGCAGAGGTTGGAAGTGAAGTGGTGTGTCTGTGTCGTGCAGTTGTGTTTAAATTACGAGCGTTCATCTTTTACAGCCGGGGTGTGTGAGCCAGTGCCTGGGAGCGCCTGGGCCCTCCTGGCACTGAGCGGCTTTGTTCAGTTTTGTGGGGGGCGGGATGTTACAGAGCCAGTCTGGGTAATGGGGGTTCACGCACATACTTGCACTCTGTTTTATCCGTGATGAGTTGGTGATTGCTGAAGAAGTTGCAGCCTAAAGTGGCTTTAGAGATGTCCCCCGTGGCTGTTTGGTAAGGGATCCTGGGGCAGATGTAGTCTGGTTTTGTGCCTGTTGACTGGTATGTGCACCTTGCTTTCTGATTTCCCATAATATACAAATAAGTGACTATATCTCTATTTCTTGGCAGAGAGAAGGTAGAGGGAGTGTTTTCCTTTTAGTGGGAGAACTAAAGCACTTTAAAAAAGAATGATATGCTCCATAACTAATGTGTTGTGCAGCACAGAAAATACAGGTGTTTCTGGAGCTGCTGCCAAGTACAGTGCTATTCTTTTTAATCTGATGTAATCAGGCTGTCACAGATGTAATTACTCTGTGCTTGAAGCTAAAGTTTATTTTCCCAGAATCACATGTATGATGTACGCAGGTTCAGAGATTTCTGTGTGTTTTTGTCTTGGCAGTCTATAGCCAGTTACTGGGAGATGAACATAGTTTCCTATAAAACTGCAGGTTGATGTGGTAGCGTCTGTGGGAGCACAGCCCTGTTATACGTTTGACATTTAAAAAGCAAGTTATCAGTTGCCTTAAGAATTGAAGAAATAGTTACAAATTTACCTGAAGATATGCACTGGAGGGCATTTTCCATGAACTCTGGTGTTTAAGCACATTCAAATAATCTGTTGTTTGAATAATATTGCTGAAATGCACAACAGCAAAAAAAATTACTGTGACTTAGAGGGGAGAGGGATGCAGAAGCATTCCAGAATAAGACTCAACCTTACATAAGGAACTTGATCAAAGTTTCTCTGAAGCTTTGTGAATGGTGTCTCTCCGTTTTCTTCCTTAAGGATATGCGAGTATCAGGAGAAACTCTGAGCTAAAAGAGCAACAAGCAGAAGTTCACTGAGAAGTCATATGATTGACTTGTAGATACCATCTTCTGTGCTTTCGTTATAGGAGTGATCAAACCTTGCCACAGGAGCTGCATGCAGCTTGTTAGCGCTTCAGTGTGGCTTGTCAGCCATGTGTTTTTTCTCTGGACTGCATGGATTTTTAGCATGGCTTCTTAGAACTTGGAAGAAAATGTTCTAGTCAGCAAAATATGCCTGTAGATTTTAGGGTGCAGTTGTGGAAACTGAAAACTGGTGTTTTGTGAAGGAGTGTGTATCAGCTGCTAAGCAGGAAGTAGACTCATACAAGATTTTGATCCTCAGCAGGAGTAGAAGTCAGCTGTCACTCGTCCATCAGCTCCCCATGTTCCTGCTCTGTCAAACATTTCACTAAGTATTGCTTAAACAAAGATGAAGGTAGTAAGCTCCGTAGCCTAGCAGGCTCAAAGTGCAGGCCTAGTGAGGCAGAGTGGAAGGAATTGGGTTGTGTATTGCGGTTAAAGAATATGGGCTTTGGGAAAGGATGACTCTTGGCTGTATGAAGGCTTTGGTACACAGTAAGTGGGTTTAACAAGTATGGCTTACCCTAGTATAGAATGTGGTTTGGGTTTTTTTGTTTGTTTATTTTTCCTTAATGTAGCTACTCTTGAAAATAAGGAAGTTTGGAGGTGTTAGATATGACAACAAATAAACCACAGTTTAGGTTGCTTCCCTGGTAACTTGCACAAGGCCCTGTATTGTAATGTGGAGGGGAAGGAAGCAGCGTGCCGCCAAACTTAGTCTTTCAGTCCTGCTTTTGTTTGCAGTTCATTCTGTTTCTCATTCTGAAGTAAACCTGACCAATACAAGGAGTATGTCTTGTGCTCACTCTGGCATGCCTGCCTTCAGTTTTCTTGTTACAAGGGCTGCAGAAGTCACAGCATTGACAGCTCTTCTCTTGAGCTCAAGTTAAAACTTTTGTGATACACGTGCAGAGTCTCCATTTGAAAAGTTCAAGTTCCCATAAAACAGCAACCAGAGTGTGTTGTCAGACAGTGTAGTGGCTGTTTACTGTAATTGCTCTGGATGTTTTGGCTGGGAGCTCTGAATTGCTTTCTGCAGAGATGCTGATTTCTTGCCAGTGACCAGGCAGGGGACATGGGTTCCTAACACTGTCGCTCTTGACCTGTGCTAATAGCAGATGTCTGTGGCAGGTGGTGTGAATGTCTCCCCTCTAGCACCTAATGAGACTCCTCTTCTTCAGTTGACTGAAGATGTTCTGTTTCACCACCCTGTGTATAATGCTTGTTACTGAACTCTTTCCAGGGCATGTGAAATGGCCGCAGATGACAAACGGTCTCCGACACTGGACTCTACCAGTGATCTACCTCGTTCTCCTAGTAGTCCATCTCATCTCACTCACTTCAAACCCCTGACTCCTGACCAGGATGAGCCTCCTTTTAAATCAGCCTACAGCTCTTTTGTAAATCTCTTCCGTTTCAGCAAAGGTAAGTGCTTGGGGGAATGTGTGTGCATGGATTGTGCGTGCTGTGTGTTTTATGGATGCCCTCTGCTGCCACATAAATTTGTAAGAACACCTCTGAATAAAAGAGCATAATGTCAGATGGCTGGTCAAATGGATGGTGAGTCAGTTTTTCTGTGAGGGATGCTGCATCTTGCTTTTGGGGGACATAGTGGAGCTTTACTGTGGGAGAACAAATCTGCGGCTGCCCGTGAAGGTCAGAGACCAGCCAGTTAGCAGATAGCATTGCATAGCTTCTTAGCTGGGCATCTGGATTTCCGTTGCCTGTATGAAGTTTTTGGGGCTAAAAGCAGGAGTAACCCTCTGCCAGCCAATATGAGCAAAATGTGTGCCTGTCCTTCCAATGGAAGTTCTTACTCTAGACTTCTTCTACTCCTCACCTTCCTGTGCATTTTATACCTTCAGCTGGGTGACAGCTGTGCTGCAATAAAGCAGTGTATTTACAGGAAGTCCACCTTTAATTTGCATGGCTTAGATGTTCCCCATCAAGAGGTCTGAAGTGTTGTGAAAGTTTTGTATATTAAAAAGAACTACTTGATTTTGGCCTTTGGGTTACGTGTATCATGAAACATTTATATTCTCAGTAGGTAAGCTCTTAAAGAACTAAGTGAGTTTTTCTTTTGTGTTCTGAAGAAATATACTGCAAAGAGTGCTGAATGAATGCGCCTTGGTTTTGTACAAAAACTGTGTGTCTTTGCTGGAGATGGCAAACTGGTCAGCTGCTTTTGTTTAGTCTGTTCATTATCCCACTCTGCTAAGCATATTTCGGCAATGTTTGGGCTAGGGAAAAAGAGCCAAGGTAACTTTTTGCATAAGCAAGCTGATCTGTTCAGACTCTTTTTATGCAGAATGAAAAATAATTACTTGTTATGACTGCCATAATTTGCATAGTAGAATATCACCTGTCATTATTAATTTATTAAAAGTAACATAAGATGTGGTCAATATTAGCTTTACTTGTTTGACAAATGTAGCTGGAGTCAGCAAAGTATTATGTTGAAAAAATGGGAAAACAACCTTGAAACAGTACATGAAATGGGCACCTTACTGGAATCAGTGAGAACCTGTCTGTACTTGATCCTCTGATGGAAAAAGGTGGTTTATTAAAGGCTGCGGTAACTTTAATGTGACCTCAGTACTGGCTTCTAGCATAACTGAGAAACAGCAGAAGCTGATAATCAAGCATAGCTATTCCATATAGCAAGAATAATTCATGCTTGATAGTTTGTTTTTTTTAGATACTTTTCACATTACAGATATTTCTGAAGTAGTCTGAGCCTTGACAGATGAGTTCTACTTACTGTCCTGTTTCCATGTTTTTATGGTACTTTTTAGACTGAAAATTAACGTATTTTGTTATATATAGTCATGATTCAAATGAACTATTTATGAGAGTTTTTTTACCCTTAGTTTTGCATGCAGTACTGGTTTTCTTTATCATGTCTGAACAGTTGGTTTCTTGCTTTTTGTCAACTCCAGATGATGGCAGGCTTTCATCCCCAGCAGAGAGAGCAGAGGCAGGACAGAGTGATCCACAGGCGTTGAGTGGTGGCTGGTCCAGTCCTCAGCATCCCACCAGGGCTCAGTCTCTGAGGTCACCGGTTCCTTACAAAAAACAACTGACTGGTGAGCTGCAAAGAAGATCTTCTACTACCCTTGGTAATTTCATCTTTTTGTAATACAAGGGAATGTTGCACTAGCCAGTCTGGGATCCTTCAGGGTGAGGTGGAAGGAGGTGAACAAAGATTCATTTGCTATCTAGATTGATAGCAGAATTTGGTATCAGGCTACACTGCTTCCGTTAGTGATGTTGCACTTTAACCTCAGAAACATGTTCCCTCCACTCTTAGTGTTCCAGCAAGACACTGTTGTTGGGGTTCTGCTGTTTCAATTACAGAACAGTCTGGAGCAAAAGAGGCTACCAGAATACATCCAGTGTGTTAAAGTCACTTGAACCTGGATCCTGAGAATTTCTGCTTTGTCTTGAGAGACTTCAGTTTCTAAACAACCACATGCAAACTGTAACTTTAGAGCTCGGTCTGAATGGGGTTGGTGTTTGTTTCTTCAAGGGAGTTATAATGCAGGTTTTTGCTTGTAGCTGTTTTGAGGAGAGTTCAATAGGAACTTGTGTCTAAACCTTTTTTTATTCCTGACCTTGGAACTATTACCAGATGCCATACTGAATCTCTTTTAGCTGAAATGGAATTGAATGTGATTTCAAAGGTGCAACTGTGTACTGGCTTTATGAAGATGTGGAAGAGCTACTAGAATAAACTGCAGGTGTCCCTCTTGAGATCTGCCTGGTTACTGTTGGCTGTTTGTGATAGCCTTCAGCAAGCTGCTAAGTTGGGTAAAAATCCTGTGCAAGACAATATTTCCAAGAGTATGGTACCTAGTGCAAACAAATTAAATGTTGTTAATGTGTGGGATTTTTAGAAATATGACTGGCCTTCGTAACCAGGCAAATGTCCAGTGCAGATAACTAGCATTTTAATCTAAGTCATTTGCATGTTGTCTTAGTTGAACACATTCATCATCTTCCTCCTTGCCCTCTAGTATGATTTGTGCTATTCAGTTGTACCCATCACAACAAAGCAATTAAGGCTTTTTTTTGTTTGTTTCTTTTTGTTGGTTTTTGTTTGTTTTTTTAAAGCTTTTTCTCAAATGTGCCAGGTACTGCAGTGTGCTCTTGGCTGAATTGCCAATTTACTTCATTCTTAGCTGCCTCTTGTAAATCTTGGAAATTATCTGGGGGTTACAGGTTAGAAACCTTTAGGTGAGGTAGGTTGTTCAGTACTCAGAAGGCAGAAATAATTTGCTGTTTGACTTCCACTGGGAGTAGGCAGCCAGGGAAATGAGACCTAGTCTCAGATTTTGGGGAGGGACTGTTGCTCCATTATTCCAACTTCTTTTCAGAACCTCCATTCATGTCCCTGGGTTTGGGTGAAAATATGCTTAGAAAAATGTGATGATGAATCGACCTGGAAAGAAGTAAATTTAGACCAAGCAGGAGTTGCTGGCTTTTTGAAGAGATTTCTGGGATACTGGGTGCTGAGTGGCCTGACTCATTGTTGAGTATCTTCCCCCAAATAACCTTGGTGCTGTAACAAACATGAACTCTATATAATACAAGTAAAAGTGTATGGGATTGGTGAGGCAGTTTCAGGGGAGTTTTTCAGGTGATCTCAGTGTATTTGAAGAGGGGAAAAATACTTGCATCTTTCCTCTCCAAAAAGCAGGCATTGCTTTTTTTGAAGCAAACTTCAGAAAATTAATTTTCATGCCTTCTTTTTTCTTAAAAAGTGCTGAATAATCAGGTCTTTGAGGATTTATGAACATTGAGCTGAAGAGAATTTTACTTCTGCCATTGCAGCTGATGCTGAGCTGCACAAATAATCTTAGAAATTATTCTTATATCTGAAGAATGAAAACTCTGACAAGGAGTTATGTAATTTACATAAACACCTAGACTGGTAGGTCAGTTCGCCCACTTGGTTCAGTGACAGTGAGATGTCTAATCTAGTTGAGTTTTCTTGCAGCCTGTAAATGTCTTTCTAGGCACTTGTGTTAGCGTATGGCCTGCTCTCTTCCTGTAAACCTAAACTAGCAGTTAAGTTGCAATCAAGTGTTCTCATAGTGTTTTTGTCTTGTTATTCACTGTAAAATTAATGCTAAAATACATAGGGTCATGAAAGAAACTCTGGAAAAATATATTTCAGTGATTCAGTAATTGAAGATTGCATGACTTACTGAGCAAATCTTTCTGTGGCCTGAACTCAGAAGAATGTACTGAGTAGGTAATCATAGCTGGAACGGTATTGCAGGTTCCTTTCCAGTGATCACAGTGGGGAGAATAGGAAAAAGAGGAGAAAAACATACAGTATTTCAGAGGATGTATAGGTTTGGCCAAGGATCAAGAGCCATAAATACATATAGGAAGGATGAGGGCTACTGTTGAAATATGAGGACTCCTTCCCCCGCTCCCCCAGCTGTAGGAGTTAGTTTTTAGCTTAGGAAAGATGAATAGGTTAGACATAAGTCAAATTGGAAATCTAGATGGGATTCCTTTGGTATATTGAGGTTTTTTTCAGTGAACATACAGACGGGAAGGGAATGGATAGGAAAACCACAATTGCTGCATAAACTGGTAGTCCTGATGTCCCACACTCATGTTGGTGTGTTATATTAAAGGGCTGAGATTCAACTGGCTTTTGTTTGTTAAATGCAAAATGATATCAGGTGAAAAATGACTGTCTGGTATGAGTGTTTGGATAGGGAGGAAGAGTAAATGGATCAAGATATAGTAGAGTTGTGGACTGAGAAAGTGCTGGTTGGACAATGACAAGCAAAAATTTGTGGAGCTGATCTAGTTGTCGTAACAGATAAAATATCACTTAAATAAAGTTTAATTTTATTTTAAAAACCTAATTTATCGTGTGTAATTTTAATTGTAGATGGTGGGGTGTGGGGTTTTTTTTGGAGGAGGATGTGTTTTTGTTTAATAGCATGTACTGAGTTTGCTGCTTCAGAAGCACTAAAAATGCTTGCCACCACTTAGTTGTCTAAGTGTGGTCAAACCTCTTGGGATCAAATCAAAAGAAGCTATGAAATCTCTTCAGAAGTGCAACTGATGGCAGTTGGGATGATGATGTGGCCAAAGCAAGATAAACACTTTTATAGTTTCTTTGTTTGTGGAAAGAAATGTGAATTTTGCAGATTTAATGGTGAAATAAGGAAATATAGTTACAATGCTGAAAACATATACATCTGTAAATTGTGGGTGCATTAGCTGAGAAAAGAGCTGTGGTATTTATAGTAATAGAATTTGGATCAGGAGCAAGAGTTAACCTAAGATTGATACATGTGATTTCTTTTGTAAGGATGATGTTTTAGACATAGAATGTCCTGTACTGCAGGAACGATAACTTCTTACATTCTTGCTATACAATGTGTTTTCCACTAGAAAAAAAGAATTCACGTGGTTGAAAAGGAAAAGAGCCAGCTGAATTTTAATCTGAGAATCAGACAGCTTCTCTAGTATAAACAGGTTAGCCATGTGCTCCTGCTGCTGATGGCACACTTTTTCTAATGTGGATGACATCCTTTTAACATTGTGTAACACAGAAAAGGGCATTTAACTAACAAGAGACCCAGTGTGGAATTACCCGTGGCATTTCCTCAGTGCTATGTGTGTTCATGTTTTGGGAAACACTTGCCTGACAAGATTTGTAGCTAGTTAGGCAGGAGGCCTGATAGTAATTTTTTAATTGGAAGCAACATTCCTGGAAAGAAGATATTCTTGAATTCAGAAGTTACAGCAGGAAAGTCCAGGAAGTAAATGCAGCATAGATTTCATGATAGAAGTAAGGAGGAGCCAAAGGTTTCTGTGGTATTATCAATGTTTTCTTGAAATATTAAAGTCCCTTTAATCACCCTAAAATACACAACTTGGTGCTGTCCAAAAGTGTATTTGTTTGATTTTTTTATTTAAAGAATAAATTCCAAGTGGCTAGCCACAGAACAGGGTTTAAGTACTCTAGAATCTCTTCAAAATCTTCTCCTATTGTGGATTCTTTGTTGTATATAGGTCATTAAAAAGCAATACGTGGGCTGATTAACTAACAACATCTGCTAAGAGTCTGAAGAGGAGGCATGGAATCCCACAGTTTTAATCACACAACTCTAAGGGTTTTGATTGCCTGCACACCAAGGAATAGCCTAGTTGTTACTGCACAGCAACAGTTAACATGCTTCTGCTAGTGCTGTCATTTTTTTTCTGACATCAGTGATATCTAAAGCAGTAAACAGAAAGCGGCCATGTCCGTTCTTCCTGTACTAGGGGGAATAAAAATAAATTGCTAGTCAGATGGAGAGCAGCGAAGCTGGTAAGAAACTTTAAACTATTCAGAAAAGTTGATGTAGAAAAGTGACTCTGAAAATCTTTACGTTTTCAGGTAAATACAGCACTGTTTGCAGATCCTTCTGGGGAGAGGGATCCTATTTGTAACTCATACAGCAATGCTTCAAAGTAATTAGCATTTTATAGAAATGAAATTAACTGTATTACCTTTTTATTCAGTAGTCTCTGCTATAATTAATCAAGAATGACTGTACAAGTTCTCAACAACTTGGCTTTTTTCCTAGAAAATAACAAACCAAAATACTCAAAAATGTGAACCTCTGGATGCATTTTATTCTAGTTACTGTTTTTAATAGAAGCTGAGCAATTGAGTCCTGAGACTTGCTGCACTCATTTATAAATAAGTTCAGGTTAAGGCATTGACTTATACCAGTCTTAGAATGAATGTGAATATTGTTGCAATTATGGTGTTAAGTATTAATACCCTCTAAAATGAGACCTCAGTGCTTTCTAAAAGGCTATTACAAGGTTCATATAATACATTGAAAGTAGCTTCACTTCTTCGAAAGATGTTTTAATTCTCAGAGAACTTAAATTGGTTCTTGTAAACACAGAGAATGGTATTTAAAATGTCAGTCAGAGCAAGCTGTTGGGCATCAGAAGCTCCTTTTAGGGGAGAAGAGTGCAAGGGCAGGAAGTGATGCGTGCTGTAACTTTGTAAAGTACATACACATGTAAACATTTCTCCCTGTAATGGGGTTTTGTGTTGTGATGTGAATGTTGATGTATTATGGAAGAAACAAATACTACTTTCTCTTCCCTTCCAGATAATCGAAGG